ATATAGCTGATGAATGTTTGGTCTCATGTAGAGATTGTGCAACCAAGGTAGAAGAGTCTTAGCAATATCAAAAGTAAAACTGCATTCAAAATATATGTGAGTAATTGATTCCAAATCACTATGACAGAAACAGCACCTATTAGGGACAGTAACACCACGAGCGGCAAGAACATCTGTTGTTTTTAAACCACCTCTAAACACTAGCCAGACATAAACAGAGAATCGTAGAGCAGATTTTTTGTGCCAAACACATAAACCATGAAACCTTGTTCATGTTAGAAAAAAACTGGATATTAAAATCACCAAATTTCGGGTGTTGCTTATCAGTCCAGTAATGGTTCTCCTTGTGCTTATCAATAGAAACATAATTGATAATAGAAACAATTTGATTATCTAAACAGTTTGGAAGTTTCCAGTTATCTCCGTGGATAAGCTGAGAGACCATTAAATCAAAGAGACTAGAGTAGCTGGAAATAGGGTGCAAACTATTAAGAAAATCAGCAACATATTTACCTCCACACCACGGGTCCCAAATGAAAGATAGGTTGCTGCTAGAGTTAACAGAGAAGTTGATACAGCTTTTTATCTTAGTGGCTTTTTTACTCATAAAATCCCAATATTGAGATTTGTTAACATCCTTGTAATTCTACAGAGACTGATATTTAGCTCTCCACCAAGAAAAAAGTAAAGAGTTGTCATTTAAAAATATCCAAATAGTAGAACAAGCATAGTTATGATAAATAGAATCAGTCGAAGGAATGCCCAAAACCCCATTAATTTTTGGACAACAAGTGTTTTTCCAGGATACAGTGGCCAGTTTTCTCTCATTAATGTTGCCAAAGAAAGTGAAACGAGCACACAGTCTAGCAATAAGTTTACAACAATCCTTGGGTATAATTGAGCCACGAATCCAGTAAGCCAAAGTATTGGAGATAGTAAATTTGATAAATTGAATTCTCCCAGCTAACAATCACTCGGTAATAAACCGGCCAAGAGGAAACGTAGAATTGCCTGAGCCGAGCCAGATCAACAATCACTTGCTTGTTTACTAAATTCTCTAATTTTAACTTTAATGGACTATTTTGTCTTTAAAAAATGTTATACTTAGGTTTCATTTATGATGATTTTTTTTATTATTTTTTAAAGTAAATTTTTAGTAAAAAAATTAAAAATTTTATACTAAAAATTATTTTAAAAAACAGTGAGAAAGTTTTAGAAGTGTGTCATTTCTTTTCTTCTCATGAAAGGCGTAATGATAACTCACATTTAACATTCGTTTTTTTTTTTTGGAAAAAATTCACATAGGGACTTACGTATTAAATAAGAAAGCGGTTATAAGTCTTTAAAGGATCAAAAACTCGCCTAGGAAAATACAACATTTGGAATAAAATATAAAGAGCTTATGATTTAATTAATACGAGTAACAACCAACAAAAGTAAAACCAGACAACCAAAGAAAATCCTAAAAGGAGTCTTTACAGGAAAATCAGAAACCCATAAGCGAGCAACGACACAGCTAGATAATTGTTAAAGTAAGGATTTAGGTTTTGTTTTGAAATGATTTCATACTATTTTACTTTTCACTTTTCAAAATTATAATTTAAATTTGACTAATATTTTTTATTGTTTAAAAAAATGTAATTAAGGCCTATGAAATTGATGAATTGAAAATTCGAAGTTTGATAAATAACTATTATATGCAATCTTCATATGATTTGTTCTTTTAAATGAAAAAATGCTTATGAGAGGTGCAATAATTCTAAATAATTGTAATAATCCACATATAACTAAATTGTCTCTTCTTGCGTTTTTCTCATTTAAAAAATTAATCAAAAATATTTAAATTCCTATTATTAATGTATAAAAAGTCAAATTATAAATAATAAATGGCAAAAAAATCAAACTATTTATGAATTCAAAAGTTTCAGTATTCAAAAAGTTAACATATCTCTTTCATGACAACAAATTTCACCTAAATTATATGCGAAAAAATGAAAGTTTAATTAATAATATATTATAATGATTTGACAAATCACCAAAATTCTTTATGATAATTACATCTTAGCATTATTTTTGTACATATTTAACTAGTTAAGTACCTTCTTAGGTGCTGAGTGCCTTTAATTGGTTCTGTACGTTTGTAAGAAATGATGATATCCGAAAAGAAAAAAAAAGATTGTTCAATTAATTGTATTTGATTAGTGCTAATGATCATTGTTTGATGGATAATACCGGAAATTGTAAAATAATAGACACGTGAGACAAATTGTTAGAAAGGTCCGTGACTGCATTGCTAATAAATCTGACATCATTAATCAATATTTTTTTTTTTTTTGATATTTAGGTCATTTCAGGCAAACACACACAACACATACATATAGAATCAAATCCTAAACCTCTTAGTTAGAAGTCTTAGCTCTCAACCAATAGGCCAAGGTGAGCTATGTATAAATCAATACTAGATAATAACGTAAGGGAACTGCACTATTTATTACTCAGGCCTAGTTTGATTGGATATTTTTTTGTGTTTTTTTCTTTTTAAAATGAAAAATTTATGTCTTCTTTGCCGTTTGGTTCATCAAACCATGTTCCCAATAACATCATTTTTTTTTTCATTTTTCTGATGTTTTGAGAAGCTTTTTATATATGCTTATTCGTTAGAAAACTCATTTCTCTGAGCCATTGTTTCTTAAAACTATCTTTTACAAAAGTACCGGATAACCAAACGAAACCTCGGTATATCCATGAGAACGACGATAATTAATCAGCCTTAAAAAAATTTTATTAAATATTTTTATTATTAATATTTTCTATTTTATAAACTTAGAGCACACATTGAATATTTATGACTTTAAAGAGACATAGGTTTCATTTGGGATGGCTATTTTACTATTTTGCCACTACTAAAAACATGACATTTTCGCAGCAGTTCATAGCGGCTGTTTATAAACTACCGCTATAGAGAGGTATAGATAATAATTTTACCCGCTACTAAAATCTCATAACTTTGGCACCCGATTAGTAGCGACGATTTTAAAAGCCGGCGTAGGATTAATATCCCCCCCTCCCTAGCCTCCGATCCCGCCCTACCCATGATGCCAATCCTTTATGTCGTGATCCCGATCCCCTCCTCTCTTTCATTGTTCGTGTGAGAACTCTAGGTGATCGGCATTTCAGGATGTGGATTGCGGCTTTGGGATGTCGATCGCGGCAATGGTAGGCAATCGGAGGGTTCAAAGCCTCCAAACAAGGGGAACAATAGTCGTGTAAAGGGTAAGCAATTGGAGGGGGGTCATGGTCGAAGCATGCTTTTCAAATGCAACAATAATTTTTGTTTGACCACTATTTTTGTATTGCATTTAAGAAATTTTTGTGCTATGAACAAGTTATTTTCTCCAGACAATATTTTTACAATCACCATTACAAAAAGTTGCAGTCGTGCCAAGCAAAACTTTAAGGGCCAGTCTATTTTGCTGAAAATGAATGCAAATAAAATAAAATATAGCATAAACGTAACGTAATGCATTTGAAATGTTTAGAGTTATTTGGTGTAAAATAAATACATGCGATTATTATTATTATTATTATTATTATTATTATTATTTTGGTTTAAAGTAAAATGAATATAGTATAAATCCCAATGATAATAGTGATTGGTAGTCAACGGTGAGATATGATACACGATGATTATGACAGTGATGGCCAACCAGTCGGCGGTGCCGGCATGCGACTATAATAGCTGAGTTATCTTGTAGTTTAATGTAAAATAAATATAGTATTGTTGCGTCCAGGAGTATTCGCGGCGGTAGAGAAATATAAAGTTTATCGTCTTAGCGTTATACGAAAATCCGGCACGCAATCAGATAAGAGAGAGGGTCTAGCATTTTATGAGACACCAAGATTTTTACGTGGAAAACCCCTGTAAAAGGGGGAAAAATATTATAATAAAATATGTGTACAGTCACAACTTAATGAAAGAATATGTATATTGAATAATGTTAGTTAAACAAGACTATAGTTGAAACTCATTGTAAAAAATGTGCACTTGTAAACAAAAAAAATTGAATTAAATACATTAGCTATTTAATCATGCATTTGAGTTGCTACTTCCTTAAAGAGAGACAAATTCTTCTTTATCTTCTATTGAATTCTTATATATTTAGCCTACATTAAAAATAATAATGATTTTTATACTACTTCTCTTTTTCTTTGAAATTAAAGTATGAATATTAATGATCCTTTACTTTTTGCCTTGCACGAAGTATGTAAATTCAACATGAACATCCACATCCTCAACAATTACTTCTTGCAACAAAATTTTTTAATCAATTAGTTCACAAGAAGGTGAAAAAATAATTTTGCTATGTATTCAAATGTTTATGGGTAAGACTTCAGTAGAAGTTTTAAGTAGTTGATAAACTCTATTATAATTATATGTGCTAAGACTTTGTTGGGACGAGCTTTCTTTACTACTTCTTAAAGCAGTTTTCTTAGTTAAAAATTTTAATTTTTTACTAGAAAGCTGCTTAAGAAACAGTAAGAAAACCGTCTCGAACGAATCTAAGAACGCATTAAAATTCATGTGTGTATATATTGAATCCCAATTAGATTTTTTCCATACAACAAATATTTTGTTGGCAATTTTATAGTTAAAATTATTCAAATCATAACTTTCTAAATAAATTAAACAACAAAAACTATTAAAAAAAAAAAAAAAAAAGATGGAGCCAAAACCTAGTGAAACGAATCCAAAAAACATCAAAGGAGTGAAAACTGACAACCCAAGAAAAAACGAAGAGAGAGAGAGCCAATGAATATACACCACCCAAGCACTCGCAGAGAGAGGAGGAGTGCCACAATTAGAGGGTGGGGGTAGGAAAGAAAAAAAGAAGAAACTAACACAAAGGGTCATGTGGAAGGGCTACAACACAAAAAAAAAAAAAAAACCCAAAAGGAAAAGAAAAATGGGGAGGGGAGAAAAGGGAATGGCCAAAGCATAAATGCGAGAGAGGTATGAAAGAACACCGCCAATAGAACGCACAGAAGGCGCAGCTGGCCACCGGCGACTGGGGGTGCCATCACTGGCAGAAGCAGCAGGGATCAGTACCGCACCCGGGGAGGACCAAGCACGAGGAGCAGGGGGATGGAGACGAGAGGCAGGGACAGGGAAACCAAAATAAAAAAGAAGAAGAAGAAAGAAGAAGAAGAAGAAGAAGAATAAGAAGAAGAAGAGGAAGAAGAAGCGCAGGAGGGATGTGACACCAAAGAACGCGAAACAGGGCAAAGGCAGGGACGGACGGGAGCGGAGAGTAGGGGAGGGTCAGGCAGGGGCAGCAAAAGAGAGGGCCCGGAAAGGGGGCGGGGCACGGACGGCAACGGGGGGAAGGGTGGGGGAAAAAGAGGTCGGGAAGAAAGACGGGTCAGAGCACAAAAAAGGGCGGAAAGGCCAAGACAAAAAGAGGGGGCAAACAAAAAGGAGGGGGGCAGGGGAAAAGCAGGCTAGCGACCAGGAGGCCCCCCCGCCAAGGGCGGACCCGGGACACGACGAGGTGCCCGGGGGGAGCGGGGAACCCGCCGAGCCGACCAAGGGGCCGCGAGCGAACAGCCCAAAGCCGCAAGCCACAGCCGGAAAGGCCGAGCACCGAGAGGCGCACACAGAACAAGGAAAGAGAGGAGGAGCGGGAGCACGAACAGAAAGGAGGGGCAGCAGGGGAGGGCGGAGCGGAGGCGAGGGAGGGGGAGAGGAAGCCGACGCCGGGCGGGAAAAGCGGCGCGACGAATGCTGGGGCCAAAGGAGGAGAGGGGAGAAGAGCGGGAAAAGGAGGAGCGAGACCGCGCGAGAGCGGGAGGGGAGAAACCACCGCGAGGAACGGCGGCGAAAAGGGCAGGGGGGGAGGAGGGCAAAAAGAGGAAAAGATCCAGCCCAAAGGGAAACCGAGGGCCGGGAAAAGGCAGAAAGAGGCCAAGGGGCGCGAAATGGGAGAAAGAGAAAGAGGAAGAAGAAAAAAAGAGGGAAGAAAAGGGGGGAAGGGCGGAGGAAGGAGCGGCGGGCGCAGGAGAGACCGAGGGGCGGGGGGGAGCCGGGGACGGGGGAAAAGAGAGGGAAGGAAACAAGGGCGCAGAGAAAAGGAGTGGACGAAGACGGAAAAAGCAGAGGAGAAAAAGCGGCGCAAAAAAGCAGAAAAAGGAAAAAAAAAAAAAGGAGGAGGGGGAACAGGGGGGGAGGAACCAAAAAACAGCAAAGAAGGACAGAAAGGGGGCAGGGGAAAAAAGAAAAAAAACACAAAAAAAGAGCCAAGCAAAACGAGGCCGGGAGAAGAAAGAGGGCAGGGCCCGGACGGGAGGAGCGAGGAGGGAGGGAGACAGAGCGCACCGGGGCCGAGGGGGGAGAGCGAAGACGCGAACGAAGAGGGGAGAGGGAGGCGAGAGGGAGGGGGGGGGGGGGGCCGAAAGGACCGAAAGAGCAAAAAAAAAAAAAAAAAGAGGGAGGAAGGAGGGCAGAGGGAGGAGCAAGGCAGGCACGGACCGGGCGACCAAGGGGGCGCACGGGCGAGGAGGGTGGACAAGGGCCGGGGAGGAGCAGCAAACAAGGAGCAGGAGCACGAAGAAAAGACCAAGGAAAGGGACAAGGCGGGGGGGGGGGGGGCGGAGGAGCAGCAGGGCGGACAAAGGGACAGAACCAAGGAAGGAAAGGCACGCAGCACCGAAGAAGGGACGGAATGGGGAAAGAGGGACAAAAAGAAGGACGAAAGGAAGTAGCAGAAAGGGAAGGGGGAGGGCAAACAGAGAAGAGAGGAGGAAGGAACGGGCAGGGGGGCCGCAGAGAAGGGAGGGGCAAAGGGGGGGCAGGAAAGCGAGACGGGGAACGGGGGGAAGACGGAAACGGGGGAAGGCAGAAAGAGGGGAGGGGGCCAAGGAGGAGGGAGAAGGACGGGGGAGACAGGAAAGAAGAGCGAAGGGGAAAAGAGGGGGGAAGGGGAAAAGGAGAAAACTCAAAGAAGAGAAAGGGGATGGAGAGGGGAGGAGGACAACGGGAGGAGAAGGAGGGCACCGCGCAGAACAGGGGGCAGGAAAAGAACAAAGCAGAGTAAAGGGGCAGAGAAGAGGGAAGGGAGCAAACGGCCGAAAGGGGCCAAGGCAGCAAGGCAGAGGGCGGAAGACATGGGGGGAAACAAGAAAAAAGAGGAGGCAAAGGGAAAGGAGAAGGGGGAAAAGGGAAAGGAAAAGAGGAGGAAAGCAGGGCAAAACAAAACCGAAAGCCGGACGGGAACAAGGAGCTAGCGGGGGGGGGGCGCGCGGAGGGGCGGGGCCGGGAAAGGACGCGGGGAGGGGCGGGGGGGGCGGACCGGGGGGGGGGGTGAACGCGAGGAGGGAATAGCAGAAAGCGCGGAGAGGGGAGGCCAAAGGGGGAGGGCCGAGGCGAGGGGGAGCCGGGAAAGACGGAGAACCGCGGGCGGAGGGAAGACGGAAGGCCCGAGGGAAGGGGGCCAAAAAAAAAAAAAACGAAGGGAAAGGGAGGGAGCAGGAGCGGCCGGGCAGGAGAAGAAAAGAAAGGACACACGGCGAAACGGGCGCACGGGGGGGGAAAAGAAGGGAGGAGAAAAAGGGGAAAGGGGGAACGAAAAAGGGACGGGGAAAAAGAAGAAAAAAGCAAAGCAGAAAGGAACCAAGGGAGAACAAGGGGGAAGAACAAAAGTAGGCAGAAAGGGAAAAGGAGAGAAGGCGAGGAAACAAGCAAGGGAGGGGGGAGCCGGCCGGCGCGGACAAGGCGACGGGGCCGCGGGCCGGGGGGACCGAGGGGGGAGCGGGGAGAAGGCAAGGGAAGCAAAAGGGACGAGCGGCCAAGGACGGGGGCGGAGGGGAGGCGGGGCGCAGAGACCCAAGGGGGGGGGAAACGAGGGCAGACGGGTGGGCGCGGGCACGGGCGGGGGCAAACAGGAAGGAGAGAAAAACGGGCCAGGAGCCGGGAAAAAGACGGGGGGGCCAAAAAGGAAGGGGGGGGGGGCAGGCCGGCGAACGGAGGCGAGGCGGAAGAAATAGGCGGGGCGACGAGGGGGAGAGGGGGAAAGGACAACGCGGGACGGGGGGCGGTGGGAGAGCGAAAGAGCAGGCGCGGGAGAAGGACAAGGCAAACAAGCGCAAGAGGGGAAGGGAGGAGGAAAAAGGCACGAGAGAAAAAGGGTGGAGGCAAACGGCGCGGGGGAACGCGAAGCAGCCAAAACGAAGCGGGCAGGTGGACCCGGGGGGGTAGGAAAGAGGGGCGGAGGGGCGAAGAGGGGCACCGCGAGGGCAGCGACGCGAGGCGCGGGGGGGAAGGGGCGCGCAGCGGAGCCACGGAGAGAACGAAAACGGCCAAAACGGGGAGAGAAGCAAAGGGCGGGCCGAGGAGCAAGGAGGGGCGAGGAGAAGCACAAGGAGAACCAGGACGGGAGGAGAAGCAACACCACGAAAAGGGGGAGGAAGAGCCAGGGGGGCGGGCGAACAGGAACAAGGGGGCAGGGGGGAGGGGGGGGCACAAAAAAGCGGCGCCGACGAGGCGCGGGGAGGCCGGGCGAGGGGAGAGGGGGGGAAAACAACAGAGGGCGGGCCGCGCGGGGGGGGACGGGCCCGAAGAGGGCGGGGCTGGCAGAGGGAGGGGGGAAGCAAGGACGCACAGAGAGGGAAGGCAGGGGTACGGGGGAGAGGGCGAAGACGCGGCGACCGGGGGGGCACAAGCGCGACCAGGAGACCAAACAGGCAGCAGCGAGAGGACAGGAGGGGGGAGCAAGGGGACCGCGAAGGGCCAGAAAGGAGGAGCGACGGGAGGGCCGCGGCGAGGAGGACGGGGAGAATGAGGAGCAAGAAAGGAGAGGGAGGGGGGCAGGAGGGAGGGGAAAGCCACAACCAGAGCCAAAAGGAGGAAAGCGGGGGGGCGAAAACACAGGGCGGGGGGGAACGGGGCGGGAAAAGGGGACAAGGGGGAGAGGCGGCGACCGCGAGGCCGGGAGAGGGGGACGAGGCCAGTGGCGGAGACGGAGGGCGGGCAGGGGCGGGGAAGGGAACCCAAGTGAAGGGAAAAGGGAAGGACAAGGAGGGAACGCGAAAAGGACGCAGCGGCCCCGCGGAGCGGGGCGGCGGGCAACCAGGGGCGAGGCGCAAACGCGGGCCCACGCGGGCGGGGGACCGGCGGGGGAGGGGAAGCAGGGGGGCGGAAGGCCGGGGCGCGGAGGCCAGGGGAGGGCGGGAGGGCAGGGAAGGGGAAGGGGCAGGAGGGAGAAGCACAAAAGCGCGGGGCGGAGAGGGGGGAGGAGAGGGGGCCGGGACGGACGGGGAACCGGGCGGGGAGCCAAGGGAGAGGAGCGGCGGCAGCAAAGGCCAAAAAAAAAAAAAAAAGGGGGAAAAGCGGGCACCGGCACGACGGAAAGCACCCCGGGGAGCCGGGCGGCGGCCCACACCAAAGCGGGCCAACGGGCGGGCGCCCACGGCGGCGCCCGCGCAGCCCGAGGCCGCGCCGAGGCCGGCCCGCCGGGGGCCGCGCCGCCCCGCCGGCCCGGCCGCCGGCGGGGCGGG